CGCCTTGCAGATTTCTGGATTTCCTCCACGGCACGCAGAGTGGAGGGGCTTTTACTCAGCGTCATGGCCGAATGGTGGTTGCAGGGGCATTAGGAGCTCCGAGACCCTCCTCCGTCGGCTGCCACTTTGGCTAGTAGTTCGCAATCTATGTCCACCATCTTGCCTCAATTGCAAGTGTCTTGTGGGAATCTTGCAAGTCGCCACAGTACTCTTGTATGGCCGAGGAGGACGAGGACGGGTACTTCACAGCTAAAGAGGCCTTCATGCACTCTGAGGACGAGCCCCCCAAGCAGCTTCCTACTCCGCCGTAGATTGTATCGAACCTCCATGATGATAGAATGCTGGAAACCTCATGGACGCACCGTCCTAGAGCTGCTGGCTCCTGGAAGAGTGTCTGATTGCCGGCCCCAGCCGTGCAAAGCTTCCACAGCAACTGCATAGTCCGCTCGATATGTGTGCAATCTGGCATCTAAAAGCGCATTCACGTCTGCCTTGCATGCATGTCCCCAATGCTATAGCAAACTACTAGTTATAATTTATTTGAACTTACAGTTTATATCATTAATTTTCTTCCCAAAATAGTTGCTATTCTTTAATAGCAATTATGGGCAAGATGGAGCCCGAAATAGAATCAATAGACCCTAAGCTCTAATAAGCTTTGGCGATGGAAGTGCAAGTTTTTCCCGCGGTGATTCTCCACCTTCTCACTTGTGCAAGGAAGAAATTTGCATTGATGAATCTCTACTACACGAGAAGCACCAGGATCATTGACAGATTACTCTCGTAGCTTAGTTTCGAGGGTGTGCCCTCGATGATCCAGCCACCCTCGTCCCATCCAACCAACGCAACACAAGACCCTCCTGAATGAGCAATGAGCCCGAGATTGTTTTCCAGGAGACCTCTGGTGGTTGCCACGCTGGGCTCTGGAACAAACACGAATCCTCGGATCTTCTCCACAACCGCACTGCTCGCGCAGGCCTTGGCAAGCTTTTCTTTATCCAGAACCAGCAAGCACCTGTCCTGGATTTTGGACATTCCCCACCATTTAGCCTTCACCCTCGCCCACAAGCCCTCGAGTTTTCCGGCCTTGCCCAGGAATCCATCCAGGCCCGCGAGCTGCCCACTGGAATTCGAGATGCAGCTCAAGCAAGCGGCTTCGAGGCAGCAGGAGCTCCCCTGCTGCTCGCGGCCGCCAAATTGCGACGCGTCATGGCACTTGATTGACAAGGAATTACGAAGATCATCGCACTGCTGCAGTGGAATCCGCTTGCCCGTGCAGTAGGAGACGAATCGCGAGCAGCACCATGGATTAGCGAAGTGCTCCGGCCAATCTTCTTCACGCAGCCTCAATCCAAGTCCCCTCTTCATCATCAAAGAGGGTTTAGGGTTTACGTACAATAGACCAAGCCGTACGATTTCGGCCAAACTTAGTTCAATTTGTACGGTAGCTTCGGTTTGGGCCAGACGAGATCCGCGTCGTACATTATCGTGGCTTGGCGTTTGTCAAAGAGCTCTAGAACTTCTTTGAGCTTCGGCACGTCCTCACACAATATAACTATTCACCAGAAAAAACGCTTGAAGCAAACAAGAGATTTTTGGTTTTCACTACCCACTTCCATAGATGATTCCAGCGTCGTCGGGAAGAAGTTCTTCAGCTGCAGTTCTTATGGACTCGAGAGCCACCGTTTGTTGCTCCTGGTACAGCAAAGTTCTTTTGAAAATCTGGGACTGAGATAAAATATCAATCTTCTTACCCTGTCCATTTCAGAGAGCTGTTTCCCCCATTTGAGCATGTTGATGTTAAACTCCGACATCTGAAAAACAAAGTACTAAATCGCCTCCAAAAAATAGGAAAGGAATGCAAGGATCTTACAGCGTTAACGAGCGTGTTTCGTGGATGAGCTTCGTAAGGTCCCAGATTGGATGAGATGATGAAGCCGTTCATCCAGCCCATGAAGAGTCTATAGGGAACCTGAGAGCAATCTCACTGTCAGCGTCCCAAAAAACACAAGTAAAAACGATAAGAACTGACGTCTTCGGTAAATGAAAACACTGAAACCGAGTCTATGTATCTGGTATCTGAATCCAGAACCTTCAAAATCTCAATCAAGACTGGAGTCTCCGCCTGAAAGGGCAACGTTCTATCAGTAAAAAGCCAACAAACGAGCAAACCTCGACCAAATGTAGGCAGCATGTTGGATAAATGAGGAGAAAGCCCGAGACTCTCTCAATGTGTTCAGCAGCTTGTTCTAAAACCTCCTTGTGATATTCTACACGAAAGTAAAAACAAAACGTGAGTAAGGAACAGAGATCGTTTGAATTTTATACCTGTGAGACGCTCCTTGTCATTCTCCTTTGAAACATTCCTCGCAGCGTACATCATCCTGCTTACAGTGGTTTTCTACAAAACAAGAAGAAAGAAAAAACGAGAGAGAGATTTTTGACTCTCGATTGCGAATGAGTACTTGATTACCTTGGCTGTTATCGGGAGATCTTCCAGCAAAACGTCCAAGAGATTGGAACGAGTCATATGCATCACGTATTCGTCCATGGTGGTTCTTTCTTTTTTCCTCGCTACCTTCCAAAGTCAGCTGAAAAAGTGAGCAAATGAGCGCGAAAGAAAAAGTCATTTGTTAGTTAGGGCTTAGGCACACTTTGAAATCTTCGCTTACGGAGTACTGCAAACGAGCCTGATCAAGCGTCGATCGATCGAGAAGGAAATTTCCTATCCCCCGGGAGGGCGGAAGTCCGATCCAGATTTCGAGGACGACTCATCGCGATGGCTGCGCGATGGGGGAGGAGGAGGAGGAGGAGGGAGCGGATGACGAGCAGCAAAACAGATGATTCTAAAGGCGCCATTCGCAGTCTTTGTGCGCTTCGATCGATCTTACTGTTCTTGGGAAGAATGTTCTTAGAATATGCTCACATAGATTAATTTATCTATAAACATGTTTAAACTACTAAAGCAAGTTGCTAAAGTTGTTTCACCAAAACAATATATAAAATTCAAGAGATCATGTAAGTCATGGGGAGTTTAGCTATGCACAAGATCACGCTACTTCACGCAATTTTCCGGGAAAAAAGGTGGGAGAATCAAGTACGTTGCAGATACGATTATCAAAGATCATCGTCAGTAGTATAAAAACTCAACCAATGCAACTTAACATCCCATCTCCTCCTTCACAAATATATCAGTTTCTCATGGCTTGTAAACTTCTCTTCGTTGCATTCCTAGCTTTAAGCCTAGGTGATTGTGCACTGGGAGCTCTCAGCTCCTCGTTCTACGCCACCTCATGCCCGAATCTCACCAACATCGTGCATGCCGCAGTGCAGCAAGTCGTGGCGTCCGAGCCCAGAATGTGTGCTTCGCTAATCCGCCTCTTCTTCCACGATTGTCACGTGAACGTAAGCTCGAACATCGCATTTTTCTTCTTTTAAATGATATAACCTCTGGAATTCAATGGATCATATGCAGGGCTGCGATGCGTCGATTCTCTTGGCCGGAGCGAGCCTCGAGCAGAACGCGTTCCCAAACATAAACTCGGTGCGAGGATACGACGTTGTCAACAACATCAAGGCTCTCATCGAGGCCCAGTGCCCCAGGAAGGTGTCTTGCGCGGACGAGCTCGTCTTGATCGCCCAACAATGCGTCACCGCAGTACGTATATCAACAATGCGATATATTGATCATCCCATGATCATTTACTAATTGATCTTCCATGCTACGTGCAGCTCGGAGGCCCATCCTGGAGCGTCCTCTTCGGACGAAGGGACAGCCTAAACGCGAGCCAGTCGGCAGCGAACACAAACCTCCCACCTCCCACCTTCAACGTCTCGGCGCTCATCGCAAACTTCCAGGCCCACGGCCTGTCGCTCCAGGACATGGTCGCCCTCTCTGGAGCCCACACCGTCGGGAAATCCCACTGCTCCAGCTTCAAGCGCCGCCTCTACGGCCCCTTCCAGGCCGGGGACGCCATGAATCCCACCTTCAACACTTCGCTGCAGAGCCAGTGCCCCAACGTGAGCTCCAGCGACAACAATCTCGTGGATCTGGACCAGCTCACGCCGGTGGTGTTCGACAACAAGTATTTCGTGGATCTCTTGAATGGCACCGGGGTGCTCTTCTCAGACGAGACGCTCGCCATCGGTGGCAACTCCACTGCCGAGTCGCTGGTGTGGACTTATGCGTCCAACCAGACGCGCTTCTTCCTGGATTTCGTGACTGGGATGATCAACATGGGGAACGAGAGTCCGCTCCAAGCTCCGAATGGACAGATCCGGCTCAATTGCTCCCGGGTCAATTGATGGCGAATAGTCCCTCTAAGAAGCTGGCCTCTAGCTAATCAGCAGGCTGAGGTCTCTTTCCAAAGCACTAGTGTGTTTTCTGGAATTTGAAAATCTAAATGGATTTGGTTTTTGTTTTTGTTTTTGTTTTAGCTAGCTGCAGCAAGAATCTTCCACGAAATGCCCGAGTGCAATTATTTCCGGCACTCAGGCAACCAACTTAAAATATGGATCAAAACCAAGCTTCTAAGAGTCATTGATCTGATATCTTTCGTAATGGGATCATATTTCCAAGGTCCACCTACTCAAAAGAATCCTCGTGCATGGATGAAGCTTCTTGGCAAGTTCCAGCACATGATCTGCAATATTACATGAGTGTGTCTGCTGTTTGTGTTCTCGCTGTAGACACTGGCACGAACGGTGGCACTGACACCGTGCCTCAATCCGGTTGCAAGCGAGGCACATATGTGTCCGCCTCTCCTTTCACGACTTCCACGTTAAAGTAAGCTTGAGCTTCTTTCTGAAGTCAAGCGTGCTTTGAAATGAGCAATGTTATTGAATCTAATCGGTCTCATGCGCTGCAAGACTTGTAAACAGCGATGTTTGCTCAAGACACATAGAGCAGACACGTCCGGTATTTTTCCCGGATGATCTCTCTTTCTCGATTGAATCGACTCAATTCAAGTTCATAGCATGGTATAAGGTGCATGAATGAATGAATGAATGTAACCAAAACTATGGAGGAGGTGATACCTATGATTAAAACGCTGCGAAACATCAAATTGCCCCCTTTCGAAGGAGGCAGCCTTTAACCGCGAGCCAAGTCCACACAGCCTCCTACCCACGTCTCCGTTTTCATAGCAAACTTCCGGAGTCCGCGCAAGCCTCGTAAATTGTCTTACTTTGGATATTCGCTGTCGACGGTGGAGATTGGCCGTGAAGTTCGCAACTACCAGAGTCACTAGAACCAGTTGAAGTATAACAACCAGTAGGAAAAAAAGAACGAAGAATGGTGAGAGTGGCGGCCGCTATTTGGGGGTACCTCGAGGGACTGGCGTTGCACAGGCTTTTCGTGCTTGGATTCTGCCGGTGAGAGCGAGAGTTGAAACTGATGGTCGCGGCTTTGTTCGTTCTAAGGCCTGGAATGCAGAAAAAGGAGATGCATTAGATCCGAGCAAAGCATGTCAGTGCTGGACGGACTCGGGCCTATCGATCTCATACTCGACGACCAGCGCTTTACCTGCTTGGAAGGCTTGTGGACAACAGGTCGCTCGGTCTCTCCCGCTTCGTTGCTTCTTCGTGGTGATGGTTTGGAGCGTGCACAGGACTTGGAGTCGCCCACTTCGGCGGAGGCATGCAAGCGGAGATTGCCGAGCTTCGCCAGGACAGACGGAGGCTGGTGAGATTATTCGTTTTCCTGCCTGAGACACAAAGACACAGGCGTAAGTAAGAGACGTGATTGCAGAGAAAAGAGCTAGAGAAGTACGCAAGGAGGTCGCAAGAAATGAACGAGCTGAGAGAGAGGCTCAACTTGCTCGACTTCAAGTACCAGTTGCTGCTTGACATGGTATGATGGAAAGAGCTCCCTAAGGAAGAAAAGAAGAAGTAATTCTTGCCTGCCTTGTTCAGTGGACTAGTCGGACTGATGGACAGCAGTCGCCTACTCCATCTGAATCGGAGCCACCTCCTCCAGCGCCACCACCTTCAACCGTGCACAACGTTACAACAACGGTGACCGAACAAACAACCACTGTCCAACAATTACAAGCAAACCTCTCTTCGACTTGAAAAGAGCTGTAAATCATCTGCTAGAAAAACAAAATGCAAATCAGAAAGAAGCTCACTGTGCTGTACAGTTGACTAAATGAAGAACAAAACAAAAACGAAAGAAAAGCGCAAAGCGTTCGACCATCAAACCACATAAAATGGCAGATCCTGGTCGAGACTCGCCAGTTTCTCAAGATCCTCAACAGAAAACTTGAAGTCAAACAAGTTTATGTACTCTAGCAGTTTCTCTGGATCGTAGCTTTGAATTACTGAGATTACACCATTCTCAAGTAACCACCGGAGCGCAATCTGTAATTTGGAGCACAAAGTTGAGCATTCGACTGTAATGTATAGCCCACCTGATTCGGAGTCTTTCCATGGGTTTCGGCGATTTCTTTGATGACGGAATTGTTAAGAACTGAGAGTGGAGGTTGCCCGCCTAAAGGACGCCATGAGCTCACACGAACGCCCACACTCTGACAGAACTCACGGAGCTGTTTCTGTTGCCACATAGGATGCAACTCAACCTGCATCGAGTGTTTTTTTTTGCTTAGCCACTTCCAAAACTAGAGCGAAAGTTTCGGTACCTGGTTTACTGCGGGGACCACGCTAGCGCTCTCCAATATCTCTTTCACGTTTTTCGCTGAGAAGTTGCAAACACCCATCGCCTTTGTCAGGCCGCTTTGCACACAGTCTTCGAGAGCCTCCCATATCTCCTGCACGCTTGATGGAAGGGAAGCGCTCTCCCGCTGATTGGGAGGGTATGTGCAAGATTTCAGAAGCTTCGATGGGGACTGGACCAAGCAAAGATCCAGGTACTCAAGCTGTAGAGCGCTGCAAAGCCACCAGAATCACACTTTCAGGAGGCCGAAAGACGCTCTTTGATGAGAAGGGACTACCTGAGGCTCTTTTCGACAGCAGAGCGAACTTCACCGGCATCAAGAAGGTGAAACTTATATGTCACAAAAACCTCCTCGCGTTTCACCAGGCCATCCACAAATCCCTTCTTGAGGCCCTTCCCAACGGCTTCTTCCGTGCCATGAGCAGCTGCAGTGTCGAAATGTCGATAGCCCATCTGTACACAAACGTCCAGCACCACTTCCGAGTTAGCTCGAGAGGAAAACTACTAAAGTGAGCTCTTTACCTTCAGAGCCGGAGACACAGCATCCTGAATCTCGCTT